CCAGGAAAGGCAGAAATCGAACCGCGAACAGCGAAAGCCAACTGCAGTAATTATCCGAAACGGCGGAAAGAAATGGAATTTGACAGGCCCGAACTGAAACGAGACAGCGAATCGACTGCACAAAAAGGCATGTTGGCCAGGACTGCAGGGAGCCCGTTCTTCCGGCTGTTTGATGAGATTGGCTTTTGAAGCCCTTTGGCGAGAGTCGCTTCTGAACAGCCGGCGGGCGCACGTTTTGCAAGGATACTTTGATGCGATTTGGCCTGAACAGCAGGCACGTCCAGGCCACTTTTCTCGCCAGAACGTCAAAACAAAACAATAAATGCACACCTACTGCACAATTTCTCGCAAGTGCGCTTCAGGCAGGGAACTTCAAAATCCGATCTGCTTGGCCTACTGCTACAAAAACCTTCATGCATGGAAAACTCTGCACCACCTGTCTCTGCCACCGTCTCGGCCAGGGGCAGCGGGAGCCGGATCAACTGCAACCTGGCGGTATCTGACGGTATGGTATTCACAGAGCCAGAGCATGGCAGAGTCAGAGATTCTGGGTTCTAAGAGTTCTGCCACAGTGCTCTGCCCCAGGTGTGACTCCAGTTCCTGCACAGAAGGGCTTCGGCCTTGGCAGCTTGAGAAAGACAGAAGCATGCTCCGCGTTAGCCATCAAAAACGAACCAAATTCATGGACGTTCGTTGCCACGTGCCCATACACTGCAGTTGACACCGACTCTGGAAATTGCCCAGGGGTCTGGCTGAAGGACTCGATTCGGAAAGTCTCTCCTGAAAGGCTCTGCATCTGTCCAGCTGCCGGCTGTCCCTCTCACAAAGCAGCGGTGCATTCAGCAGCGTCCTTCCTGTGCCAGCCGGAACAAACCATGCAAAAGCCGAGCTCGGCCCTCAGCAGCCCGAACGTGCTCACGACAGAGAGGACGGCCGCCAAAGCTTTACAAATTTGAAAGGAAAAAAGATGCAAAAAAAGGGGTTGTACATGGCACAGTCTCCTCTGCCGTCGCTTAGGGCCTGGCTGCCAACGTCTCCATATCACCTTGGCCCAGCCTCAGTCTCATCTGGTGCAACTGAGTCATT